AACTACAAAAACGTGAATTTTTATGAAAACGGTGACATCATGCGCATGCATATTACATGTTCAGTCTATAGGTGTGTGTGTTTCTTTACAAAGTGACATCGCCAACTACTGCCGATAAAATTACTGAAAATTAAAATATGAAAAAAAACCCTAACCTTTTTTTGTGGTTTCAGCTAGTCGCCAAGGCAACACTTCTAATTTTCAATTACAGATTAACAACAACTAAATAAACCAAAACTATAAAAATAAAACCCATATTGACATAAAAAATTGCCTATTACAAATGACAAACACAACAAATTTAGCAAAAAGTTCGCTAAATTAAAAATGAAAACAGAAAATATAAAATCAATACGATACTAAAATAACTCTTTCGCAATGGTCGTTTCACAGGACTTCCTGCGATTTGAATGTGTCTTTCGATCCTGATTTGCGATGTCAACAGGAAAAATAAGTTCATTTCACACTTTTAAGAGCCTCTGATTTTTTTTAACTAGCAGTAAAAACAAGCAGCCTAATATAATATATTATAATATTAGCGATGTACGTCTATCTTTCTCGCAAACAATCACAATCAGTGTAATTCTATTTGACTATTTTAAAATGTAATTTATTCTTATATGGAGTATATCATCAAATATGATGATTTGATGCTTCATATTTTTGTGGATTTTTTTCCAGGATTCTTTGATGAATAGAAAGTTCAAAAGAACATCATTTATTTGAAATATCATTTTTTAGTAACATAATAAATGTCTTTACAGTCACTTTTGATCCATTTAATGCATCATTGTTGAATAAAACCATTAATTTCTGTAAAAAGCAGCTCTTGCAGTAGCGCGCGCGTGTGTGTGTGTCTGTGTGTGTGTGGTTTGACTCAGGAGTAACTCTTTCTGAAGTCAGATATGTTTGGATTTGACCCTGATGAATGTTTCTGTTGTAGAGGAAGTGCTCGAAACTGAAGATGTTCACTATAGCATGAGATCATGTCAAGTTACAGCTCAACTGAATAAATGAACTGTAATTACCTGAAGGAGGAAGAGAACGAGTCTCTCATGAATCAGCTGATTAATTACTGCACACTAATCAGTTAATTGACATGGCGATGATTTACTGTACGTGACGTTAGCCGTTCTGCGCATCACATATATTTCCTTCAAACCGTATAAACCCTTACTGTGTACCACGGTACCTTGCTTGATATTTACCATAATATTACTATATTCATACACTATGGTGTTTACATGATACTCCAAGGTACTTTTATAGTATTACCATGGTACATATCCCAGAAAATATGGTGCTTATGACACTTTATTCTTCTTCTTTTTGTGTCTTTAGTGAGTGACCTTCAGGAAGAGGGCAAGAACGCCATCAACGCCCCCCTCCTAACCGGCGGCCCGGAGCTGCTCCCCGAGGACACCCTGCTTGGTAACGCCTCGCTCCTATTATCCATTAAACACAATGTAACGTCTCTTTCCTCCACTAGAGGTCGTGTGGTCGTATTCCCCGACAAAAACCCAATAGGACTTTTCCATTGGCTTTTGGATTAGTTTTTTGAAACGATTATGGTTAACGATTATCATAGTAATCTTCAGGAATTAACACAAGTTTAATGAATTTTGAAGCCTAAACACAATCAGCAGAAATAAAAAGCTAAATTCAGGCTGTGTCCGAAATCGCCATGGGAGTGATTGAAAACGAGTGAGTGAATTCAGACACTGAGTGTGTCGGAAGGGCTGCCGCTTTTGAATAGTTTCTGCTGTTTAATAATCAGTTTAATAATCATTTGAGTCTAAGCAAACTGGCAGCTCCAGTAGTAATGAAAAGATTTATCTTGAACTTTCTCTTTAGCATGTATAAACCTTAATTAAACATTTTAATAATCAATTAAGAAGGCATTTATACCTGTATGATATTGGTTTGGAAAACGGATGGATGGATGATTCAGATGCGGCGCCATCTTCTGTTCAGACACGAGAATTCATTCAGCCAGAGCCCGTCTAACGGAGAGCCTTGGCACTTCCTATTAGCCCCATTGTGTATCATCTTGTTTGCAGTTCCATTAGAATTCCACTGGAGGTGATCACGGGCGAGTGCAGAATGAATGGGAGTCTATGGAGCTAAACGGCTAAATGTATCTCTTTCTCCTGCTTGTCGTTGAATCAACATAGATTTTATTGTTGATTCCGCAAGTTCAATATAGATTATAGGCCAAAAGTCGAATGAACGAGTACTTATGTCCTTTCGATTTCTAACAGGTTAGGCCGTTGTTGGCCGGAACACGCTAGCATTCTGCTATTATGTGACGTCATCACATTTTTGAACGGATTTTTAGAACAGATAAGTGAACTTAAAAATGCAATTTTCAGCTGAGTGTATTATCTTAGCCCTCCCTTTTGAATGCAACTTTCAGATTACTTGACAAAAAATTACATCCTGAGAAAAGTGGATTTCTGGGGGTGAAACCCCATAGACTCCCATTCATTCTGCACTCGCCTGCGAGCGCCCCCGCATGGACAGAGACGTGTTACTGCAGCCAGTCCAGTAACCGGAAGTAACCAGACAGTGCCAATTCTCTTCAATTAGACATTCTCTGATTCAGCTCGCGACACTCACAGTGCATTATGGGTATTCTCAAGCCGTTGAGCGCATATACATAAAATATTTATTTTATATGTCTTATGGTTGAGCGTACATCAATTGTACACTCATTATTGCGGTGCATTGTGGGATCGATAATGTCCACTATGGTTTCGGACACCACTACAAATGGCTGTTCCCTCGAATAATGCCCTATTTAAGGGTAGGCTATAGGGGGCGATTTAGGACACAAACGAACTACACTACGGTTGCATGACTTAAATGTCACAGTCACTAAGCTTCCAACAACTCTTTCAGTTTCCGTACAATTTTGACCTTTAATATTATATTGATAATATGAATAGAATTGGTAAATGGACTGCATTTATATAGCGCTTTCACAGACCTATGGCCACCAAAGCGCTTTACATAGCCTCACATTCACCCATTCACTCACTCATTCATACACCGATGGCGGTGTCAGCCATGCAAGGCACCATCCAGCTCGTCGGGAGCAGCCGGGGTTAGGTGTCTTGCTCATGGACACCTCGACACTTGGCCAGGTGGAACCGGGGATTGAACCACCAACCTTCTGGTTTGTAGACAACCTACATGAACCACTGAGCCACTGCCGCCCCTAGAATTATGACGTTTGTTTCCGACAAGCTCTGTAGTCCCATTTTAGCCACTTGTTAGCAACCACCTTTTTCAAGACAAGAAAAAAAATATTGATGTATTTTAAGTCATACACAGAAAAAACCCATGACATCAGGATGATGGAAGCAGAAGTGCTAAAATGCTTGTTTCCAGGTTTTGAGCTTTAAAAAATACGTCATCGCTGCAGCAATATTTACAGTTTTTATTTAAAAACACATTTACCTATTTAAAGGTAAATAAATGCAGCACTATTTAAGAATTTCAAGAGAAACCGTATTAGGTGAAGCTGGCCCTTGAGAAATGCATTACTAAGAAGTTGAACTCCCCAAGTCTAATTTTGTGGTGGTGTTGGGTGTGGAGGACACTTCTCGTTTCCTCCATGACTCTTGCTCACTCTGAGTCACACAGCTGGAGAAGTTCCCCCACACCCAAGACCGCTCTAGAGGACGATCCAGCAGAATTCTCTGTTAAACACCGTGTGTTTATGAGAGTGTTGAAGAGTTTCTTCTTTCATCTGTGATTTTTGCAGAGGAAAATGCAGAGAGGACCATTCTAGACCCTACATCCAGAGAAGACCTCAATTTCAAAGACCTGCAGAAGGTAGAAAACACATGTTCTGACTGTTTACACTCACATCCAGGGGCGTAGCACAAGATCCCGGGCCCTATGCATAGGCAGTCCTTATGGGCCCCCGTCCCGCCCCGCCCACCCCACCCCACCCCACATAGTCTGGTCTACAGTCACTTAAATGATTTTTGCTTGAGAGAACATTTATTTTTAATATGCTTTATTACTTCTAGGCATAAATGAAATCTTAAACATGCCATTTTTGTTTTGTACATTAACAAAAAGCTCTATTCATAATAAAACACAAACTTGTCAGTTTTAAAACAAAACTTGTCACTAGTCAAAATGAAACAAATTCTATTGCTTGCATGCTAAAGCTTCCTCAAATGTATGATTTATACTGAAGTTTATTCCCCAGTAAATGCCCACTGGCGTGTTTTTTTGCTGGCGAAGTCATTGATGAGGTCCTGAAAGTCCATTTTTTTTGCCAATTGGCTTTCAATGGAGAGAAGAGCAAGACTGTTGAGCCTATCCTGGCACATTGTTGACCTCAAGTAGTTTTTAACAAATTTCAATTTGCTGAAAGCCCGTTCACCACCAGCAACAGTGACAGGTAGGGTGCAGAAAATCCTCAGTGCAATACAGATTTGTCCAAAAATGCTCTGTAGCTGCAGCTTGTATATGTCATTAAGGAGCTGAAGAGGGGACTGATTATGAGGAAATGTGGCCTTATGTATTGCTTTCAGGTGCAGCATTTCATCCTCAAATTCAGTTGTGAGGTCTTTGTGGTAGATTCTTGTCAGAGCCCGGCATGTTACTTTTATCTCTTCTTCTGACATATCTGCAAACTTCAGAATCGGTGCAAATGTTTCACATATTGTGGCTGTGGTCTGGAACCTTGCACTTAAATCACTGATTATGTTGTCCATTACAACAAAAAATACCTTGTTTCTGAATAGAGTTGCAGCATTCTCTTCAGTTTCATCTTCCTGACTCTCATCTGGCATACATTTCCTTTTCCGTTTCCGCTTCTCTTCACCCTGAAATTGAGCAGGGATTTCCATGGCTTGGGCTACTAAGCAGGCCTCGGCAAGGAGTGAGTCCCATTCACAACGAAGATCCTTTATTTCCTCTTGCAGTGCCTTGATGTTTGCAGCCTCAATGTCCAAAGAAATATCCCCTGCCTGAAGAACCAGGTTACGATTTTCCATGCACTGTAGTACCTTTACCCACACAGTGAGTAGAACAACTGCATCAAATGTGTTGAAATATTTTTTTAGACCTTTTGCCTCAGACTTGGCATCATTTGTAAGGCTGCATGTGTCTAATACACATTGTAGTGCTACCAGAATAGAGGGGAGGTGAGTTGTCACGACTCGTACCGCAGCAATCCGGGCACCCCATCGAGTGTCAGAGAGACGATGAAGAGAGCATCCAGTTTTTTCCTTCAAGATTGCCCATCGCTCTGGACTAGCGCTAAAGAAATTGTAAAGGCGATTAACACTGCCAAACAATGTTGAGGCCTCAGGGCATGACTGAGCTGCGTGTACACCCACCAAATTAAGGGTATGGGAAGCACAGGGGGAGTACGTAGCAAGCGGGTTTTGTTTTAAAATCTGAGCTTGCACGCCTTTCACTTTCCCTGACATGTTGGCTCCATTGTCATAACCCTGTCCCCTACAGTCCTCTAATGGTATGCCCATGTCTTGCAATACTGCCTGAATCATTTCAGAGATTTCCCTCCCTGTCTTTTTATAAAAGTCTTCAAATAGACAGAATCTCTCGATTATCTTCCATACATCACTTTCTACATCTTGATGTACATATCTCAACAATAGCACATTTTGTTCAGTGTGAGAGATGTCTGGTGTTGAGTCACATATCACTGAGAAGTAAATTGCAGCTTCTCTTTCTGCCAGGATAGTGTTCAACACTCTTTTGCCACAGAGCTCAATGAATTCATTCTGCGTCTCAGGACTCAGATAGTGTGTTAACCTTGACCCCTCTTTCTTCTTTTCCCTTACTTTTTCCAAGTGCTCATGTAAAATGGGATCATAATATGCCAACAACTCTAAAGTGCCAAGAAAATGCCCATTGTGGACATCATCTAAATTAGAATTTTTGCCTCTGAATGCAAGGTTTCGTGATGCCAAATGAAGGGTCACATGCAAAAGCCTCTGTAGAATCAGCCTATTCTTCTCTATTTCTGCCAGTAGATGTCTTTGAAGGTGACCATCAACTCCAGTTCCTGCTAGTAATGAGTGCTGAAGGCTTTTCCATTTAACATAGCACTGCTTATGAGGCATGTTTGTCTCATGTTCTGGCAATTTGTTGTACATTCTTTGCCATTTAATGTGTGCTAATTTAACTCCATCCTTGCTGTTCAGGGCACTTCTTGACGGCTTTGTCAGCTCATGAGAGAACAGAAGGCATGGGATGCAATATAGAGCCTCTGCACTCTCACTATGAATAAGCCAGTCTCTTCTGATTTTTTCACGCCCGTTTGCTGACTTTACAAATTCAAGATAAATGGGAAATGGTTTCCCTTCCATATCTTTAGGTGGCACTTTGTTTGTTTTCTCTGTACCTTTACTTGCTAGCCTGCGTACTATGGTGTCTCTCTGATCATTCGTCAATTTATCTGGCCATAATCCTGGATCCTCTGGCAAAAACTGGTCTGAATTGCTCTGCCTACTTTCCAGTTCCTTATCTCTCATTTCCACACTGTGCTCAGAACAACACTCACGCTCCCTGCTCTCTTCACTTCCACCATCATCCTCAATCACATCTTCTCTATCATCTTTCTCTACACGAAGAATACATTAGATATTAACCTCTTATCCTAATTATTAACTAATATAATAAAACACACTACGATGTTAGTGTCACTTGACTTAACAGCTTTCAGTCAAAATGGCTAAACAAAATGGTTTGCTTTAATTTTGAACTATAATAGCTCACCTGGTCTCAAATCCGAAGAGGAGGATGAAGGGTCTGTTGCTACTCCACTCTCTGATGTGACAGTTTCTGAAACTGAGGGCCATGTTTCACAATGTTAAGATCTGCTTCTACTAAATCTGACATAAAAATAATGTTGACATTATATGTACAGGGGAAACTAAAAAAAAATGAATATTGTGCAAAAATTCATTTATTTCAGTAATTCAAAATTATCAAACAAAGGCTTGAAATATCTCACTTTACATGTAATAAAATATATTAGTTTCACCTTTTAAGTTGAATTACTGAAATAAATGAACTTTTGCATGGTATTCTAATTTTTCGAGTTTCACTGTGGCTACAGATGAGCTACCAAGCTACCTATGAGTGACACTGATTATTAGCCTAGGTTTTAGCCTAGGTTTTAGATATTATAGCCAATTAATTTTAAATTAAACATGTTTCAAATTAGGCTATTATAATGAAGTTTTGTATGCAAACAGCATTATTAGTGTACAATTTATTTATTTAGCCTTTACCTCAGATTACATATAACCAAATTATCATCTGAAAGTGTTTTTCTGCCAGAACATACATTTTCAGATGATAATTTGGTTATAGCCTACATGTAATCTGAGGTAAAGGCTAAATAAATAAACTGTACACTAATAATGCTGTTTGCATACAAAACTTCATTATAATAGCCTAATTTGAAACATGTTTAATTTTAAATCAATAGGCTATAATATCTAAGATTAGCAATAATAGGCTAATCAGTGTCACTCATAGGTAGCTTGGTAGCTCTGTAGCTACAGTGAAACTAGACAAATTAAAAAAATTCTGCTCTTTCATTGGGTTGTCTCAGTTCATTTTTAGCACTAACGATCGCGGAGATATTCAAGCAGTTTAGCACTATAAATTTCGTGTTCTGGTTTGTGCTCACCTTTCTTTGAAAAGAAGTCAGTAACCAATTGTTTCCCCTCATTTTGTTTTCTTTCCTTCTCCTGTCTTTCCTTTCTTTTTTGGTGGCCTGACTTAGCTTTCTTTGAGAAAGACATTTCTTCAGCGCTCAACGAGATGCCGCTCAACTAACATTTACAAAATGCGTGCAGATGGACTAAACCATTTGGCGCATTAGCAAGGGGTGGGACCATAAGACCGTCAATCAATCAATCAACCAAGTTATTTAGTTAATACACTAACTTTACATTTCATCTGACATTCGTTATGAAATTTAATTAGGAAATGAAAATATCAAGGTAAAATAAAATATGTTCCAGACTTTTCAAGGGCCCTCTCTCCCCTTGGGGCCCTGGTAATCAGTACTGGTTTTACCCCCAGTCCGACGCCCCTGCTCACATCTCTGAATAGATGATGTGGAAATCTCCCAGAAAGGGTAGATGAAGACAATAACCTAAGTCTGTTTGGAGAGCATGCAGCGCCCTCTACAGTTTTAGCTATTACCTCAAACCATAGACTGTAAAAAAAGATGGACGACGCCCCTCCGCTCTTTTCCATTGGAGAGAACTGAAGACGCCAGCGTCCCGATATGGCGCTGACATATTGGAACTTGAGTCTGCGCAGTAGCGTTTTCGGGACCAGTCATGCGCAGTCGTGAGCAGGAAAGGCCCCGCCCCCACTCTCGCTGAATCAATCGTCATATCTATGATTAGGGGTGACCCCGAATAGTCGAAGATTCGATGCTTCGATAGGAGGAGCCTGATTCGACTACCAATCTCACGGTCGAATCTTCGGAGATGTGTTATTAAACGAGGATTATGTCATTTTGGCTATATGAGTGTGCTCATGTCTGATTTCACATAGAACTACTGGTTTTCTGTCAATACCTTAATATACAGCCTATTATGATAATGCTGTCAATAAAATGTGCAAAGAAAGAAGCTAATAAATATTTTTTAACGTGCGTGAATAAATCCAAACCCCCGTGACAGATTTAAGTTTCACTTTCGATCCGTGACCGACAGAGGAGCGTCTTGTCGGCAGGGATTTAAATCTTTAAAAATGTCTGGGATAAGAAAATCTAAAGATGCACACCATCAGAAAGGATATTCTCCAAGGCTGGATTTAGCATCAGGAAAACCATGATCGCACTTCTGCCGGCCAAAGTTAACAGGTTGGTTTTCCTCGGGACGTTCTAAAACGCTTAACGTGAAAAAAAGCTTTTAAAACGCTTAAATGGCACTTTTACGTGCTTAATGTATGTACACAGTAGGCTACACACCTTAAGAAACTATGTGCAGATAAGCAGATTAACCCAGAATATGAACGCACGCGTTTCTCCTATAGAAAGTCACGTAAAGCTTTTTCTTTAACGGTTTTCTATGGGAGGAAAATGCTTAACGTAGCCTAAAACGCGTTGCGTTCATATTCTGGGCTCATCTGCTTTTCTGTAGGCTATATAGTATGCTTTATTAATAAGGTGTGTACAGAATTTGCTCTTTTAATATAACAGTTTTAGGTCAACGCCGTTAAGCGTTTTTTACGTTAAGCGTTTTAGAATGTAGGCTATTTAATCCGCGCACACAATTTGAAAAGACTCAAACGGACACAGGCCGAGTGAAAGACTGGATTTTGTTTTTTCGATCAGGTATGGGTACAAGTGATTATAAACATTTCAGCCGGTTCTAATTTGATTTTTGGATACTGTGAACACGTTTAGCTAAAAAGACTGCCGCTCCAGTTTAGCGTTTATTGTTGTTTCTGCAGTTAAAAATACAAAGTTGACAATCCTGAACATACTTTCGTTATTTTAATAATTTCTTTATTTTAATTTTATTAATTGATCACTCAGGGTGATCTAATTTAACTATTTGTGACTTGTGTTTTGAATATGTGTTCCCCTGCACTTTAGGCATTTTGCACACATTTGTTCTGCTTCTTGTGACTTGATTCTGACTTATTTAGTTTTGTATTTTTATTTACTATAAATGTATATTGTGTTCTTAATTGTTGATTATTTTTCAGTGCATCGATGTTGCGCTGTAGGCTTACTTAGAGCATGCTCGTACAGGCAATTCAGCCGATTTAATTTGATTTGCATGTGAAATGCAAATCCTATCTGCAGTGTGGCCTTTCTGCAGTTATTTATGTTATTTCTTAGTTTTATTGATCCAAAATGTTTTTATACATTTTCTTCTATATTTTTGTGTGATGTTCTGTACATCGCGGCTTTAAAATGTTAAAGCCCCGCCCCCTCCCCAACACCACACACATGATTCGACTATTGGTCGACCATAGGCAGGACTTGACGAATCTGATTCGACTATGAAAATCCTTTGTCGGGGACACCCCTATCTATGATCAATCGTAAGCACACGCCCCTGCACTTTTCTTAAGTGGCCTTGTCTGCTCCGTTCCTCTCCAATGATGTCTGCTGATTGCAGTACCTCGTTAAAATAAGGTAAATACAACTACTAACCACATAGTCAACATTATGAAAAAAAGTCCGTTGGTGCTTCAGTGACTACTTCACACAGAGAACCTGTCAATCACAGCTGTCAATCATGATGTCACAGCACCGTTTTTATAGCATCAAATAACTAACTAAAAACAAACTTATTTTAAAAACAAACACTTGAAATTACATCAACGTGATAGAAACTACAGTAAATGACAGAAACTATCTTTAGAAAAAAGATATGTGAAGTGTAATTTAATTATTTAGTTGGTCTCACATCCCGTTGAATAACATGGGGAGGCGGGGTTTATGACCTATACTAGGACCGGTCACCGGGGGGCGATCGAGATGTTTTGGCTTCACTTTTGAAGGCTTGTGCGGCACGCTTGCCTCAAACCCCTCAAGCCAGTGTTATTTTAATATTATTTATATCATATTATAGTATTTCGTAGTATTTTGAAGTGGCTTTTATTTTTTATTTGTTAAAGGTTTAGTAATTTTATTTTGCGCTTTAATAGCATTTTTCTTTTTTTATTAAATATTTCTATATAGCTTCAATTTATTTTTTATAGTTTTAGTTTTGGTCAGTTTAGTACTATATTTTGGTGACACTTTATTTTACAATGTCCTTGTTATTGTGCAATGTCCTTTGTTTATTTTACAGTGTCTTGCATGTTGCATGTAGTCTCTATAGTAATTACTATAAATTATGCACAATTACATGCAACTAATCCTAATCCTAACCCTATAGTAAGTACATGTAGTTAATTAATATTACTCAGTACTTAAATTTATATTTACACTGTAACAAGTGCACCTTAAAATAAACTGTGACCCATATTTAGGTAGTTGCCAAGGCATCATTTAGTTAATGATAATTTAACATCTTAACCCTAGCCCTATAGTAAGCACATGTAGTTAATTAACTCTTTCCCCACCATTGACGTCATTTATGACACAGCGTTTCTAAGCCACGCCCATTTAGCATAATTATCATTCTACTCACTGACCTTTTTATAAACTCTTCCTCTCAGGTTCTCATTGACTGGATCAACAGTGAACTGGAGGAGGACCGAATCATCGTAAAAGACCTTGAAGAAGATCTGTATGATGGACAGGTGCTGCAGAAACTTTTTGGTAGGACAAAGACAAGAACTTTATATTTAGGATTCTCCTCTTTTTTGCACCTTTGTTATGGTGCCAAACGTTTTAAGTGTGGTGCTAATGAGGATGTTCTGTGTGTGTGGCCTCCTTCAGAGAAGCTGTCGGGTAATAAGCTGAATGTGGCGGAGGTGACGCAGTCAGAGATCGGGCAGAAGCAGAAACTGCAGACGGTTCTGGAAGCTGTTAATGGCGTCCTCAGACCGCTGGAGTGGAACACGGAGTGGAGTGTCGACTGTGAGCGCTGAAAGACGCACATTTTTACAGTTAACCGGAAAATAAATAAATCAAAGGTAGGGTAGGCAACTTTCGGAGAGGCTGGCAATAGCGAGCTAGCTAAAGCATAAGATCCCACCCTTCCTTCAGAGCCTCTCCAAACCCACGCCTCCTCCGAAACACATGCAGGGAGCAAACAAAAAAACCCAGGGCTCCCTTGTAAAAGAGATTTGAATATCTCAATGGGACATCACCTGGTAAAAAAAAAAAACCGTCACGAGAGACGGCATCAAACCTACCTCATGTCTCAAAGCACATAACATTACAATACTTTCCATCTCTTCATAATTTACAGTAGTTATTGCGTGAGCGCAGCATAAGCTCATTGTTTTGGTTCAGGAGGAACTGTAAAAGGCTGCTTTCAGTCTCGGCGCTCGGTGACTGACGTCTGTCTAACTCGGCATAGCATGAAATGCATACATTGACAGGCAGGTAGGACAATGTATCAGTGCATTCAGACCGAATTCAATGATTGGACGAACATTTTATGGTCCAAAACACGTTGGCCACAATTACCGGTACCCCTAGAATTTTTTTACGAGTAAAATGTCTCTGAAGTATATTCCCATTAATGTTTACCTTTTTTAGCACACCAGGGTGACTAGGAACATGAAATTGTCCAGCCATGACTTCTTGTTTCACATGAAGTTTAAATCTGAGGAAACACAAAGGCCAAATTCCCTTAATCATCCACCACAATGAGTAAAACCAAAGAATATACAGGTGAAACTCGAAAAATTTGAATATCATGCAAAAGTTCATGTATTTCAGTCATTCAAATTAAAAGGTGAAACTAATATATTTAGTATATATAACTATATAAATATGCATGATTATACTTTTCAGAGGGCCGACATTTCTGCATTTAAAATCCTTTTTTTAAATTGATTTCATGTAATATTCTAATTTTCTGAGATTTTGAATTTGGGGTTTTCATAAGCTGTAAGCCATAATCATCAAAAATTATAACTTTTGCAGGATATTCAAATTTTTCGAGTTTCACCTGTAGTTCTGATGTGCATCAAAAGATTGTTGAGCATCACAAAATAGAAAGTGGCTGTAAGAAAATAGCTAAAGCGTTGAAAATCCCCATTTTGACCATCAGGGCAATAATTAAGAAGATCCAATCAACTAAAGATGTTAGGAATCTGCCAGGAAAAGGACGTGTGTCTATATTGCCTTAATGGACGGTGAGGAGGAAAGTTTGAGTGGCCAAAGACTCTTCAAGGATCACAGATGGATTGAATGAATTGCAGAGATTACTTGAGTCTAGGGGTCAGAAAGCCTATAAAAAAATTCAAACAACCCCTACATCTCCACATGTTGTTTGGGAGGGTTTCAAGAAAAATCCTCCTCGCTCATCCAAGAACAAACTCCAGCAGATCCAGTTGTCAGACATGACTTGATCTTCAAATGGCACAGGGTTCTCTGGTCAGATGAAACTAAAAAATATATCTTTTTGGCAGCAAACACGCTAGATGGGTTTGGTGCACACAAGGGTAAAAAGTACCCCATGTGTACAATTTAATATACCGTTGGATCTTTAATGTTTTGGGCATATTTTTCTGCTGGAGGTCCTGGACTTCTTGTTCAGAGACATGGCATCGTGGATTCTATCAAATATCAACAGATAAAAAATCAAAACCTGACGCCTTCTGCTAGAAATCTTATAATGGGCAGTGGTTGGATCTTCCATCAGGACAACTATCCAAAACAAACATCAAAATCAACACAAAAATTTGTTACGGAGCACAAAATGAAGCTTCTGCCATGATCGTCCCAGTTCCCTGACCTGATCAGTGCAGAACTGAAGAGGAGAAGCACCAACATGGATCTGGAGAGTCTGTATGGAGGAATAGTCTCTGATCTCAGGTCAGGTGTTCTCCAAACTCATCCGGCATTATAGGAGAAGACTCAGAGCTGTTATCTTAGCAAAAGGAGATTGCAAAAAGTAATTATTAAAAGGGTGCCAATAATTGTGGCCAACGTGTTTTGGAGAAAAACATTTATTTCATAATGTGATTTCCCCCTCACTTTCAATTCATTTACCTCAATGAAAGGTTAGATTTTTGCCAATATTTTGAATGAAAGATCAAAAGGATAAACGATGCGGATTTATTTTTACAGACAGTTTTGATCATATTTACCAGGGGTGCCATTAATTCTGAGCACGACTGTATAAACTATATACATATATAACTATACATATATAATTACATCTGGACGACTAAATTTAGTGATTGCTATCAGGATGTGAAGAGACTTTCAACCAGCATAACAAAAAATGTTTCTGAAACAAATCGCCTTTAAGCATTGATGAATTGTGCAAAAGAAAGTAAAGGAGGTCAATTTTGGTCATCTTTTAATACATGATCAAAAATAAAGAATTGTGTTGTTGATTATGTCTGTCTCTTCCTCAGCCATCCACTCTAAGAGCCTGGTGTCCATCGTGTACCTGTTGCTGGCGCTCGCCATGTACTATGCAGCTCCCATCCGCTTACCTGAGCATGTGTCCGTCCAGGTGATCGTGGTCAAGGTACGAGGACCTCATTAAAGTGTGAAACTGAACGTTATATAATCAAATGCCTTCCGCTTAATTGCACAGGTTTGTTTTTGTCTCAGAAAAAAGAGGGAATCCTGCAGACTGCTCATGTGACCAAACAACTCACAAGTACCACAACAGAGTAAGCAGCTTCAATGTGGACATCTAGTGATGAAAGATGGTTATTACATGAAAAAATACATTTTTTATTTAAGTGTGTGATCTGATGCGGACTTTCTGTTCACTGTTTTCAACAGAATGATGATCGGAAAGTCAGGTGGGTATTTTCACACACATTTTCATGTTGTTCTTAAGGATCAATATCCTGCTGGAAAATCCAAGGCATTCCAGTTTAAGGAGGTCAACTAGTTTTTTAGGCACATGATAGCTAGTTCACAGTGGTTTACTAGCTCTAATCTGCTTGGCCATGGTGGTCTAACAGATTGAAAATAAACCATCTAGACCAGCTAAATGTACACATGTACCTGACCTGAGGTAGAAACTAGGAGCTGGTCTTTGCTGGATTTTGATGGTTTGTCTGTTTTCTATTTTTATTAGTCCCAAACAGTTTCTTTGTTTTGTCATTCGCAGAACGTGATGCTTTCGACACCTTGTTGGATCACGCACCTGACAAACTGAACGTAGTGAAAACTGTAAGAAGCCATTCTGGACGGGACAAGAAGTTCTGTGTGATGGTGCTGATTATCCAAAATGAACCTTCAATGTTTGTTTTCTCAGTCGCTGATCACATTTGTGAATAAACACTTGAACAAACTGAACCTGGAGGTGACGGAGCTGGAATCACAGGTATGAACATCATCTGTTAACTACTGTAACTCTCACACGGATCAAAACCTTCTCTAAACCTCTTGTGTGTGAAGTTTGCAGATGGTGTCTATCTGGTGTTGCTGATGGGACTGTTGGAAAATTACTTTGTGCCACTGTACAACTTCTACCTCACGCCAGAAAGCTTCGAACAGAAGGTAAGTGTGATGTAGGATGGTCTAATGTGGACTGGTGAGGTCTGATGCGGTCTGATTTGTTCTGTTAGGGTGTAATGAAGTCTTATTGTGCTCGATTAGACTGAAATGCGGTTCGATGAGGTCTGATTAGTTTAAATATCTTATTAAACTGCATCAGACATGTCAGACTTCATGAATCCACATCAGACCACATCAAACCATGAATCGTATTAATGAAGTCTGATTGGGTCTTGATATGGTTTGATGTGGAGTTGTTAAGTCTCATGAGTCTGATGTAGACTCATGAAGTCCTGTGGGATCTGATGTAGTTTGATGATTTGTTATTGAATACCTAATTAAACTGGATCAGACCATGTTAGACTTTATGAATCCACATCAGACTAAAACCTCAACATACTAATCACATGAGACTAAACAAGTCAACAGCAAACCTAATCAGACCTCAACAGCAAACAATATCAGACTCAACGAGTCGACATCAGACCACATCAAACCATATCAGACAATATCAGACTCAACGAGTCCACATCAGACCACATCACAGCATATTAGACAATATCAGACTCAACGAGTCGACATCAGACCACATCACACCATATCAGACAATATCAGACTCAACGAGTCGACATCAGACCACATCAAACCATATCAGACAATATCAGACTCAACGAGTCCACATCAGGCCACATCACACCATATCAGACAACATCAGACTCAACGAGTCCACATCAGACCACATCACACCATATCAGACAATATCAGACTCAACGAGTCTACATCAGGCCACATCACACCATATCAGACAACATCAGACTCAACGAGTCCACATCAGACCACATCACACCATATCAGACAATATCAGACTCAACGAGTCCACATCAGACTACATCAAACCATATCAGACAATATCAGACTCAACGAGTCCACATCAGACCACATCACACCATATCAGACAACATCAGACTCAACGAGTCCACATCAGACCACATCACACCATATCAGACAATATCAGACTCAACGAGTCCACATCAGGCCACATCACACCATATCAGACTCAACGAGTCCACATCAGACCACATCACACCATATCAGACTCAACGAGTCCACATCAGACCACATCACAGCATATTAGACAATATCAGACTCAACGAGTCCACATCAGACCACATCACAGCATATCAGACAATATCAGACTCAACGAGTCCACATCAGGCCACATCACACCATATCAGACTCAACGAGTCCACATCAGACCACATCACACCATATCAGACTCAACGATTCCACATCAGACCACATCACACCATATCAGACTCAACGAGTCCACATCAGACCACATCACAGCATATTAGACAATATCAGACTCAACGAGTCCACATCAGACCACATCACAGCATATCAGACAATATCAGACTCAACGAGTCCACATCAGACCACATCACACCATATCAGACTCAACGAGTCCACATCAGACCACATCACACCATATCAGACTCAACGAGTCCACATCAGACCACATCACAGCATATCAGACAATATCAGACTCAACGAGTCCACATCAGACCACATCACAGCATATTAGACAATATCAGACTCAACGAGTCCACATCAGACCACATCAAACCATGTCAGAAGATATCAGACTCAACGAGTCCACATCAGACCACATCACAGCATATCAGACTCAACGAGTCCACATCAGACCACATCACAGCATATTAGACAATATCAGACTCAACGAGTCCACATCAGACCACATCACACCATATCAGACAATATCAGACTCAACGAGTCCACATCAGGCCACATCACACCATATCAGACAATATCAGACTCAACGAGTCCACATCAGACCACATCACACCATATCAGACAATATCAGACTCAACGAGTCCACATCAGGCCACATCACACCATATCAGACTCAACGAGTCCACATCAGACCACATCACACCATATCAGACTCAACGAGTCCACATCAGACCACATCACAGCATATTAGACAATATCAGACTCAACGAGTCCACATCAGACCACATCACACCATATCAGACAACATCAGACTCAACGAGTCCACATCAGGCCACATCACACCATATCAGACTCAACGAGTCCACATCAGACCACATCACACCATATCAGACTCAACGATTCCACATCAGACCACATCACAGCATATTAGACAATATCAGACTCAACGAGTCCACATCAGACCACATCACAGCATATCAGACAATATCAGACTCAACGAGTCCACATCAGACCACATCAAACCATATCAGACAACATCAGACTCAACGAGTCCACATCAGACCACATCACACCATATCAGACAATATCAGACTCAACGAGTCCACATCAGACCACATCACACCATATCAGACTCAACGAGTCCACATCAGACCACATCACACCATATCAGACTCAACGAGTCCACATCAGACCACATCACAGCATATCAGACAATATCAGACTCAACGAGTCCACATCAGACCACATCAAACCATGTCAGAAGATATCAGACTCAACGAGTCCACATCAGACCACATCACAGCATATCAGACTCAACGAGTCCACATCAGACCACATCACAGCATATTAGACAATATCAGACTCAACGAGTCCACATCAGACCACATCACAGCATATTAGACAATATCAGACTCAACGAGTCCACATCAGACCACATCAAACCATGTCAGAAGATATCAGACTCAACGAGTCCACATCAGACCACATCAAACCATATCAGACGATATCAGACTCAACAAGTCCACATCAGACCACATCAAACCATGAATAGCATTGATGAAGTCTGATTGGGTCTTGATATGGTTTGATGTGGAGTTGTTGAGTCTCATGAAGTCTGATATGGTTTCACGTAGACTTCTAAAGTCTGATTATATGATGGTTCTGGAATTCTTATAGCATTAAACTGACAAATTACTTAAGCATTTCTATTTCTAGCATTCAAAAACTGGTTTGTAACATTACTAGCCATGGAAAAAAAACTGCTAGTGTTTTTGTGTCTTGTAGGTGCATAATGTCGCATTTGCTTTTGAGCTCATGCAGGATGGTGGATTACAGAAACCCAAAGCTCGACCAGAAGGTACCAGAAAAATCAGTGCCAGCAATGTTATCAGCGTTATACACAACACAACCTTCAGATATCATAACAGACTAGGTTGTCTGAACCCGTTCATGGTGTTAGCCAGATTATCCACTAGATGGAGATGTTCCTCAATAGATGCAGCACACTGTACCTGCCCTTTCCTTTCTGTTCATACACACTGACAGTTAACATATTCAAGCCCCTGTCTATTTACCAGCGATTCTGTTGTTTGTGTCCTGCAGATGTGGTGAACTTGAATCTGAAGTCGACTCTCAGGGTGCTATACAACCTTTTCACCAACTACAAAAACTCAGAGTAACACTTGAAGAGATCCGAGGAAGCTTGCGTCGTGCCTCACTGATGACATGCACACACATCCCTTGTCTCTTTTGTATGCTAGAATGAAATATTTTGTATAATTTAGTTAATTTATGCCCAGAATCGAATGTATTCAGCCTTAATGATCCGTCAGTGTAGCAGCTCATTAAAATATTTTATTTTGACTCACGTAATCGAGGCCTGTCACTGCTTTAAGCACTACACACGAAACGACTGTTTGTCCTGGAATGATTCATAAACCTGCACTGTGTATTTTATTTTAGTAGAAATGCTGTAATTATTTCAAATAAACAAGTGCTTTCTACATGCTGGAATGAATTCATTTTGACATCTATGAATTTGATCTTTCTGGTTGCAAAAATGATTTATGAGCGACCAATAGAGTTTAAAAAAAAAATCAAAATAAGTTGCGTATCACGTCTGTATACACAGAATTATTCATGCTTAAAATCCTTGGTAGCCTACATATAAATATTTCACCTTCTTGTCCCACACAGGCTTGAATTCGGCATGAAACAAGTTGCGATAGTCTTTTCTTCCCTATTGTAATATATATCCGAGAGAAACGACTTCTCAAACAAGACAAAATGTAAGGTGAGAATTTCGATTGGATTGTTGTCGTTTGCTATTGCCGTGATCTCATGTGAGTGACAGGTTGTCCCGCCCTCTTGCCGCATCACTATTACTTTTGTTCATACTTGTGCTGTGTCCGAAAACGAATTCTACTAAATAGAAAAAACAGTATGCCAAAAAAGTAGTATGTCTGCATACTACATTAGGTGCGTCCCAATTCGTGTACTTGTGCACTATTCTGACATTTTGTAGTATAAATAGTGCAGTGTTCACACTGAAAAGTCCAAATTGGAAAAGTGCACTTTTAAATACCCGGATGATACACTTAATTAACCGAATTCATGCACTCAACTGTCTCATCAACTGTCTCAGCTTTAATTACGTAGCGGAGGGGGAGGAGCTATCAGACTTCCATGTTGAAGTGCAAAAATTACCATTTAAAACTCATACACTACACGGTTATGTACATAGTGCATAAGTACATAGTGTATTGTGCATCATTTGGGACGCAACTATAATATTCGAAAAACAGTAGGCGAAAAGAGCAGTAAGTCCGAAAACCAGTAGGCAAAAGTACCCGGATGACCTACTGTACTTCAGGTGAGATTCTGAAGTGCATTCGATGGACACTTTACTATCCCATGAGGCCACGGGAGAGGATTTATGAATGGCAGTGAAGCGGTAGGTCACATGATAATGACAACATGGCGAATGTAGTTCATCCTGTCTATGAGTTCATCCAGATTACATTCATAATATACAAACTCATTCTATATAGAAGATACTTTATTAACAGTTGCAAAGTAAATTCAAATGTAGATTCAGATGTGATAATACGCATTAAAGTTTGATGTGTGACTCGTTTGTGTCTGACACATTGATTTATTATGTCTTTTTATGGAGTTATGATAATAGAGTCTTTTTTTGTCAACTTGAGCTGCACGACTGTGGGTAAAATTAGAATCACGATTTCTTTGTTTAAAATAGTTTATGATTCTCCCACGATTCTGAATAAACAACTAGACAAAATGTGTAATTTACTAGAGGTTCTGAGAAAATGTTAAGTGCTGCAGTCTATTTAAAAATGTTTAATTTGAATAAATTATTTTTGTAATAAGGTTGAATGAATGATTCAATGACTCACTCATAAAGATTTCATTGCTGGATGAATCAGTGGTTTTGAAGAAATCTTTTGAATGATTGATTCAATGACAAATACATGTTTTTAACAGTCACTTGTCGCCACCTACTGGTGCAACGATGAAATTAATACAATCTTTATTTGAAGTGTCAAGTTAATTTCAATAGTGTGGTTGAAAAGACTGTTTGTGATGCAGACTTGAATGTTCACTGTGATCGGACTTGTCAAAGGTTTAATAGACATAGCCGAATCGTTGTCATTTAGGAATAAGATTGCAATTTTTTAACGATTAATCATGCAGCTCTACTAACCACCCACAACACCCAAGAAACCACATAGTATCACCCTAGCAACCACCCAGAGCACTTTACCAACTGCATAGCAACTTTCTAGCAACCATTCAGAATACTTTAGCAACCACAGAGAGCGTCCAAGCAATCGCATGCGGTCTGAGTGGTTATTACACTCAAACTACATTAGAAATTGCATAGCAACTCTCTAAAATCCACTCGGAACATGGGAACACAACAACAACATTATAATAACCAATGATAACACCCACCCAAGCAACCACATAGCAACATTCCGAACACCTTAGCAACTGCCTAACAACACCCTAGATGAGATTTGCATGGATTTCCATTTTTTTGGAAACATGTAAACCATAGTTCCCAGTCTGATTGTATTTTCCAGGATGATGCGGATGTAAACAGATCCACAGATGGGTGAGTCTGAATCTAAATAATCCTGTTGTTTTCAGATGCTCCTTTGAGGGTCTTTTTTTTTCTTCAGTTGTTTGTTCTGGATTCAAACTTGCGTTTAATGGGGGAATTCATAGGGATGGTAACTATGGTAACCCTCCAGCCCAAATTACCTCTGTTTTTTCTCGTCAAAGGGAGGCGTTCTCACAGTCACAGAAAGAGAGAGAGGAAAATGTATGCAATTGTTGCTCACAAACCTGGAGAGTGTTATTTTGAAGAGAGGAAACTGTAGATCACTATTTGGTTGTTTACTAAGCGTTACTCACTCACATGTCATGTTTGGATCTCCTGTAAGGTCTGTTCGAGGATAGGTTATGTGTTTGATGCAGTGCGTGACAGTTTCAGAACATGTTTTGTGCTGTACAAAATAGAAAAAAAGAGGAAGTGCTGCCATACCACTTCCTGTCTGTTTGAAATAGGCCTCACCCATATTAGAGTTCTTGTTTTTGTTTTTAGCTGATTTAAAAAGATGGTTGGTTGTTTTGTAGAAGTAAATCGATTCTTGTAGGGAAGGTGACTGGACCATTTGGACGGCGTTTCGTCTACCGCCACACTGATAAGAAGTAAGATTTCTCCAGACGTGTGGCGAGAGCTGAGGTGAAAGTTTTGACAGCAAACATGGCTGGATATTTGTATTTCTCAGATATTGCTCTTTCATAGCTCAGCAGACTTCATGGATTTCTCTGCAGGTTTGAGCCGCCTTTGTCTCAGACCTTTTCTCCTAGAATTAGAAAATGGACACAAATGTTGATGTACATTAATTATAAAGCTATATGAATGTGGATAGCAATGTTGTTTTTGAAATTGTTAGCTAAGAAATATTTGTAATAGAGATATTGTTTTTTCTAATCTGACCACATTATGGAGATCTTTTCTAAAACTCCCTTTTGACTCCCTTTTTCTTCTCAGGAGAAACATCTAAAAGCAAAAGTCTCCATTTGCTCTCCATTTACTCATTGTCTAGGAGAAATTGAGACATTCAAAATAGTTCACTCAAAATGAACATTACAATGCTTTTATATTCTTTCTGGGGCTTGATGCCTTCACCTGCTATCTTAATTATCGTAAATAATACTTTCCTAGTTAAAAAAAAAAAAAATCTAATGCGATGAGCTCGTAATCTCCACTTCAGAAGTGGGAAGTGGGAAATTTCCGAGAGCACGTGTGCAGGCAGTTGTCATGGACGCTATGGAAAGAACTGCTCTAAAGTTCCACATCATATGTGTTTTGAAACGACCGTTAAAAATAATATGCCAGTATTCATTTTTGGCCGAACTAGATCTTATTTCTTTCTCTTTCTTGTCTTTCTGTGTCTCCGAGTCTGACAGCATGTTTTTGTTGTCAGTGAGGTTTATGTTTCTACCGTCAGTCTGTGTTATGTCAATGTGGGCTGGCGTGCGTGATACAGGAAGGTAGAAATCTTGTCCTCCGTTCAGCGCGAGATCTCTCGCAGAAGTGTGTGTGTGTGTGTGTCTGTGTGTGTGCGTGTTGTGGAGATTCTCCGTCCTTGTGTTTTGACGTTTGAAGTCGGCTTCGGTTCGCAGCACTTCATCATAGCCATAAAAATGTCCATAAGAAAACTAAACCTCGAGATGAATCGAGTCCTTGAAATTCCCTCAGGACACAAACACGCAGACAGAACCAGAACGTCACTTGTTTTTCACAACAGAAGCACTAGAAATCAAATGTCTGCTGAGTAAAACTATTATTAAGTTCACTTTTTTGACAAAAACAATGTTTTGAAACAGTCAAAAGAATGACAGACTGTGGAGCTGAAGAGAAAAAGGACGAACTCAGCGATCGTCAGGCCCAGGGTGAGCAGTGCACATTCATCTCAACATCAATCCAGTTTACACTCTTCTATCATGCACTTAAAGGGTTAGTTCACCCCAAAATAAAAATTATCCCATATTTCACTCACCCTCAAGCCATCCTAGGTGTATCTTTCAGCCAAACACAATCAGAGTTCTATTAAAAATACCCTGGCTCTTCCAAGCTTTAATGGGAGTGAATAGAGCCTGAGTTTTTGAAGGCCAAAAAAGCGCATCCATCCATCATAAAAGTAGCCCATACGGCTCCAGGGGTTTAATACATCCTTCTGAAGTGAAGTGATGCATTTCTGTTAGAAAAAGATCCATATTTATATAACTTTATAAACTAGAATCACTGGCTTCCGGTAATGGCCGTTTCCCAGCCCTCTTCTAGTCCCGGCAGAAGAGGGCTAGGCAACAAACTCAAGCTCCTCTTCTCTTATAATGAAATCCTCTGTAACTTCCGCCGGAACTCGAAGCCAGTGATTATAGTTTATATTATATAATTATAAAGTTAAAAATATGGATATTTTTCATACAAAAATGAATCGCTTTACTCCAGAAGGCCTTTATTAAGCCCCTGGAGCCATATGGATTACTTTTATGATGGATGGATGGATGGATGCACTTTTGTTTTGTCCTTTAAAATCTCAGGCTCTATTCACTCCCATTATAAAGCTGGGAAGAGCCAGGATGTTTTTTTTATTTAACTCCGATTGTGTTTGGCTGAGAGAAGAAAGTCATATAGGATGGCTTGAGGGTGAGTAAATTATGGGATCATTTTCATTTTTGGGTGAATTAACCCTTTAAGAATGTACACTATTGGGACTAGTGTTGGGTAACCAAACAATTGATGGACCCCATTGACTTCCATAGTATGAAAAAAAATATAAACACTATGGAAGTCAACTGTTTGGTTACCGACATTACAGTAAAATTGACAATTTTAAAAGAAACTTGCAACAAACTCATTGCTATATAGAGTGCAAAGGGTTATGGGTAACATTAGCAAAAAAAAAAAAAACATAAAAATGAGCTTGCTCATATTTGACTTGCTATTTTGAACATACTATGATTCAGGACACAGACACACTAATCCTATTCTTCTTTATAGTAAGTATAGTATGTGAAATAGAATGCAGTCACAGTCTTTTATGAAGGGCAGGTCCAGTGTTTAGCAGCTGAAAGAAAATAAACATCCTAAAACGTATAATGTGGCATACGATGTGTTCTGTTGTGGATTAAAGGAGCAGAGAGGAGAATGATCATTCAACCGACATCTTTAGACGACCCCAAACTCAACAAACTTAAAGAGGTGAGATGCATCAACTTTTTGGGGTGGTGTGGCATAGTAGTGGCTGAGAGTTGTCAAACACATTATTGATTAGTTCCCTCAATGTGAGCATCATTTCCTGAGGGTGTCTGAATATCTGGATTTTCCATGTTGCTTTGAGGTAGGTTTTGGTGGACTGGATCAACAAAACCCTGCAAATTGAACATATTGTGGTGCGATCGCTGGAGGAAGACCTGTATGACGGACTCGTCCTTCATCACCTGTTACGTAAGAATCACGTCAGAGCAAGAACATTCTGAACGGGCATATTATTTAGTGCACCTCACATGAAAGTGATATATAATGTTGCATATAACAGGCTTCTCTTTCATTTTAATGTGAAATATCTGTGTATGTTGTGAACCCAGGCAGGTTAGCAGGTGTTCATTTACATGTAGAGGAGATTGCGTTGAGTACTGATGTCCAGCTACGGAAACTAGATGCCATCCTGACAGCTGTGAACGAGACCTTCGAGCTTAATGAGGAAACGGCCAAATGGAACGTTAAACGTAAGCCAATCAGATCAGCTCTTGTCAATGACCTGTTTACATATGAACGTACGCCCACTGTTCTCCCTCTCCAATCTGTCAGTCATTCACAGCAGGGACCTGTTGGCTACATTACATCTTCTGGTTGCTATTGTGAGGCGTTTCCAACCCGATCTGGTCCTTCCTGTAAACGTCAGCGTGGAGATCATTCAGTGTGAGGTGATTGATTATTGGACATTTTTTGAATGTGTAAACTATATGTTTCAAAAGCAGAATATTAAAGAGGGTTGTGCAAAACACACTGCCATAATACTATTGTTCTAGGTCGCTTACATGCCAAAATTAGTCCACTTCCTAGTCTCTATGATATTCTGGTCTTCAGATACAACTAATTATTTGAAATATTACTATATGCATATAATGAGAAAAAGTTGTTTTCATCATTTTTCACAATTCATCACTGCATATTATTTATAAAAAATTAAAATGCATATTATAATAAACAATTATAATTTGTCATAGCATATTATTTGAAAAAAATGTATATGCATATTATAATGAACAATTGTTTTCATAGTTTTTTTTTACCATTCATCATTGCATATTATTTGCAAATTAATATACTTGTGAAAATAATGAAAACATTTGTCCATTATAACAAGTATATTCATTTTCAAATAATATGCAATGATGAATTGTGAAAAAATATTACATCAATTTTCATTATAATATGCATATTAATTTTTTAAATAATATACAGTGATGAATTGTAAAACTAATGAAAACATTTTTCCATCATAACAATGCAACACTGTATATTATTTAAAAAATGAATATGCATATTTTAATTAAAATTGATTTAATAATTTTTCACAATTCATCATTGCATATTATAAAAAATGTGCATATTGTAATGAATGATGTTTTCAAAATTTTTCACAATTCATGAATGTATATTATTTACATTTTTTTTATAATATAATAAATATTGATTTAATATTATCTCACAATTTTTCATTGCATATTATTTGAAAAAATAATAATATGCATATTATAATAAACAATTGTTTTTATAACTTTTTACAATTCATCACTGAATATTGTTTGAAAAAATATGCATATTATGTAAAGTAAAAAAATCATCAAAAAAAAATTTCCTGGTCATTTAATCAAATATGCACATCCACAGAAAAATTATATTAACCAATAGTATAAGAGCCTAATACCCATATCCAATCAACACGTACATGATTTCTCTTAAAAAAAATATTCCCTGAGAAGTTAAATTACTTTACAAAAGTTAGATGTTCATGTTATCAGCATTCATTAAATTCTCATTTGTCAACCAGGTCACGAAAAGTGGCATCAAGGCAGACAAGCAGACCGAATTCATCACATTTCAAAGGTCTGTGCAGAACCCCCTTCCCTATTAAACATGTTTAACATCACTTTGAAACTCAGTGACAATGTCCAAAGCAGCGTTTCATGGTGCGTTGTGTGTCTCCGCAGTAATTCCAGTGAAGAGCTTGAGAGAGAATCTAACAGTGAGTCAAACGGAGGCTGAACTCTGAGCCTGTTCATTTCCATATTTATAAGCATCAGTAACTTTCAGATAGCGGAGGCGTATAAAGAAGAAAGCGCTTGCTTCTTAATCTCTCTCTTGCAATGTCTTTGCAGAGGAATGTCCCATTGATGAGCTCTTCAAGCTGGAGGCTCACAAAATTGAGACCGTGAAAAAGGTTCCGATCCAGTTCCTCACGTGTCGAAATGTAGTCTTTGACCCAAATCTTTCAGCGCTTCATCAAGTTTTCTTTTCTACAGGCCATTTTGCACTTTGTGAATAAGAACATGTTATCTCTGGGACTGAGCGTGACAGACATTGACAAACAGGTGTGCAACTCTCCTAGACTTCAGTTTAAAGGGCTCGTCATTTTTTAATTTCATTATTTTCTTACACTACCATTCAATGTGGTGGTTGTTGAAAGAAATTAGTACTTTTATTCAGCAAGGTCACATTAAGCTGACCAAAAACTTACAGTAAAGAAACTTATAATCTTTAAAAAAAAGTTGTGTCACAGGAATAAATTACATTTTAAAGTATATACAAATAGAAAACGGTTGTTTAATTGTAATACTATTTCACAATAATACCGTTTTTGTGTATTTTTATTCAAATACATGCAGCCTTGGTAAGTATAAAAGACTTCTTTCAAAAACATTAAAAAATCTTGCCAACCCCAAACTTTTGAATGGTAGTGTATACGTTTTTTTTTGGCACTGAAAATTTGGTTTTATATTAAAGGGATCATGACATGGATTACTGTTATGATTGGCTAACGTCATTGCATAGGAAACAGTATCAACATCCACTCACTATTGCACGTGAGTAAGTGTTTTAAAAGCATTGGGTCTCATTCATGAAACATTCGTAAATATGCGAGTGATTTGCGCGTAAAGAGACCTTCCCGAAAACTCTTCTCCTGATTCACAAATACTTCGTGAACGTCAGATGTGATAGTGAAATGTTTGTGTGTGTGAGTTAATGAATTCCAATCAGTCGTAAATGGGACGCGCGTGCACGCTCATTCTCAATTACCATAAATCCCGCCCATTAAATCCGACTGACAACTATATATGGGCATCATATTATGACATGAATGCGAATGAAAAAAAAAATTCTCAGATGCAGAAATTGAAGTTTTATTATCAGAAGTTCATTCAAAACGCCACATTTTATTTTCAAGCGTAGCCTACATAGTGGCGTATCAGGTCCTAAAAAAAAGGAAGCTTGGCAGCATATTACAGATGCAGTTAATGGAGTTTCATTTGTTAATCGAACAGTCCCAGAAGTGAGAAGAAAATGGTTCGACATTAAGCTTGAGAGCAAAAAACGAATTAGTTCACTTCGGAAAAATAGTATTCAAACTGGAGAAGGACCACCATCCAGATGCTATTACTGGCTCTCATAATAAGAAAAACCGTATGTAATTACTATATATAATATTTTTTCAAAATGCTGTGCAAATATGTACCCGATTAAGGGGAATTAAAATGCAGCCTTATTAATGAGCAAAACGTTCGGGTGTTAAGCGCACTATTTACGCGTGGCTGGGAGCAGGTGTAGATTTCTTTCCTACCAACTAACATTTGGAAAATACGAACATTTCAATGAATCCGAAAATTTACGCCAGAACCACTTTACACACGATTTACACAAAAATTCATTTTGCTCGTGTTTCATGAATGAGACCCATTGTCCATATAAAACCGTCATTTCCAGACAAAGATTTGTGAAATCCTTTACTTACAGTTTTGTAATGCAGCTTCTGTCAGATCCAATACAGTTGATCTTCATCTGTCAACAAACGCTTCTTTATGAACCATTACACTGTGCCTCATTGACAAGTGGATGTAAACATGGCTAATGTCTTGCTCTGGATGTATTTGCCTGTGTGATATTACAGATCCCGCAATATTACAAACAAGGCTTTTTGGAGCTTGATTAAACGCTTTGTTTATAATGAAGAGGGCGTTTTAAGCTATGAAACTTGCTGGATGTTTTAATGGTACAAAGACCTCTTAGATCATGCCAAATTTGATTTCTCATGTCATGACCCCTTTAACAATTTCCATTTTCCTTCTGAATCAACAGGCTGTTTTTTTAATGTAAATGCTCTGTTATGATTGGTTAACATCTTTGCAATTGGAAAACGTGATGTTACAGTTGAGTTGGCCCCCCCAAAAGCTAAAAAAGAGAATGATTTGAGCCCTTTATGGGCTTGTTTTTGACATCTCACATTCATGTTTCATATATTTATGTTTTAAAATGTGATATTGTTAGTTTGCAGACGGAGTGATTCTGCTCTTGTTGGTCGGGCAGTTGGAGGGCTTCTTCATTCCACTGTGCGATTTCTTCCTTTGTCCTGTCGGGAGCTTGGAAATGGTGAGAACCCGAGAAAACATTTCGAGTTTTGCATTTGCATTGAAACGAGCACCATGTTGTTAGTGACGTCCATTGCAGTTTGCAACAAGAAGTAAAACTGAATCCAGGCTTATGGGATTTTACATCAGTGTAACTTCACATGCACCTCGCCATCGTATAATTAACGTCTCTTAGGATGACTGGATATGACAGCACAGCAGGTTAAGAACCTGAGGCTAATGCAAAAGACAGAAATCAAAACTAATGATGTTACAGAGAACTTGCAGTGTTGTGGTTTTACAACATTTATTTGTTTGTTTCTGATTCTAATCTTTTTACCATTGATGTTTGTTCACCTGCAGCTCCATAATGTGACGCTTGCATTGGATCTTCTCATAGACCGAGGGCTTCCGGTTCAGTCCATTGACCCTCAAGGTAATTATTTTGAGATCATCGAGCTGTGTAGTGTCAAGTATACATCCTAAACAAAACCACTCAACGCTTTTTATTGGCATCGATGGTTCCATAAAGGATCTTTGACATTTATGGAAACTTTCAATTGCTTAAAAGGTTCTTAGTTTATTTAATACTGAAAGGTTCTTTGGGGAACCAAAAATTGTTCTTTCTTAAGCTGTCTTAGGAAGCATCATTTTCCTGCTTGCTGTTTGATATCATGCACACAATTCAACAACTCTCACTTCGTCTTCCATCTTGGATTGCATTTTTTCACTGAGCTTGTCACGATGCAATGTAACATTATAATAATGGCATTACCTTCTTCATGTTGTTGGAACTAAAACCCCTATTTAGGCTGTTTTTGTGTACTTATTCAATAGAATCGCTGTTAGCATGTTAGCATGATCTGCCTGGTTGTTCATTCACTAATAAGCTAATTTCTCATGTTTCTTACAGACATTGTTTCCCAAGATGTTCCAGCCACTGTGAAAGTGCTGTATCACTTATTCAGGAGGCACAAATACAAATAATCTATAGCCACTCCCAAACTTTCAATTCAATAAAACCTTCCATGATGTTTTAATAACCAAATTAACTGTACATTTGTGACTTTCTTCTTACAAAAAATCAGAGGCACGGAGTTGACAGTCAGATTACTTTGGCACTCAGAGTGTTAGAACACATTAGAAGCAATTGTACAGAGTGTCTCTGAACCATTTGAAGAGGCTTCAGAGCAGAAACGAGAGAACATGGCCACTCATCTCATCGTGGAAATTGCATTTGGATGCCGACAGCTTCAATTTAATTTCACCTTTTCACTCTTCCACTTTACGTGTTTTTTTTTCTCCTTTTGGACAAATGCGCATTAGTCTTAATGTATCGCTCAGCATTTTCTGCTGACTTGCAGCTTGTTCAAATAAAAGTGGCACATATAACATCTCTGAAACGATGTCCCCTTCAATATAATTCAATATACTATAAGTAGAATGTGTGTGTGTGTTTGTGTGTGGTTCAGGTATACCCGTTATGGGGACAAAATCTCCCCACAAAGATGGTAATATTCGAAATCCATGTCCTTATGGGGACATTTTTGGTCCCCATTAGGAAAACAGCTTATAAATCATACTAAGTGTTTTTTGTTTGTTTGAAAATGTAAAAATGCAGATGTATTATGTGATGGGTAGGTTTAGGATTAGGGGATAGAATATACAGTTTGTACAGTATAAAAATCATGTCTATCTAATGTCCCCATAAAACATGAAAACCCAACATGTGTCTGTGTGTGTGTGCGCGCGCGCGAGTGTGTGACGCACTTATCATTTTGAGTCTGAAGAGCTGTTTGTGGGAGCAAAACCTTTTTTATTTATAAAACAAAGGATTAGTTACGCTAAAAAAAATAGTACATTTTATTAAGAATTACAAACAATATTCATTTCGTTTTGGCGCTCTGTAATGTTGTGTCAGATCGGTGACGCGCCTCAGTTGAAGCGGCAGCACGTACGGCGGCGCGCGCGTGAACCAGTGGTGTCTTCCTCTTTCTTTACTACTTTAAAACAAGAATGAACATCAGGTATGTTGAAAGATCCAGTACAACTTATATTGAAACATAAACTGTCATGTAATCGCCCAATCAGTTTTTAAACCACGGAAAGACGTCAATAAAACCGCGTGTAAACAAAATGTCACGTGACAATACATTTTTTTGCCTCAGAACAGACAGTCATTCAAGTTCGTTATAGCTAATTATTCGTTATAGCTAAATATCTATTTATTAGAATGTGGACAAATACCAATGAAACAGTAGGCTGTAATCACATTATTTCTAAACTTTAGAGAAACTAAAACTCCTATTGTCGTCAACAGTAAAGGGCATATCTCTCACCCAGACTATACCCCTCCATCCACCCCCGTAATTTAATTTCCTTAATGTGTGTTCTCTCAAATTGGATACGGTGAATGACTTCCATTTAATCTAAATGGCAAAAGCATTATGGGAGGTTTAAGAGAGTCTCCTCTCAGCGAAGAGGCCGGGATTCGTGGATGCTCTGATGGCGTTTTAATGGTGAATTGCCCTTGGGTAATTTTTTACCATTGCTGTTTCTGAGCAGGAAACATATAAGAGGCTGACATTTTTCATCCTAACGCCCGTTTGTTTTTCGTTTATATTCATAACCGCAATATTTCAGCCTTTCTTATCCCTTGCCGTGGGCGTTAGTGTCATAAAAATGAATGAAATCTGTAGGATGGAGAGAGGTAAGAAAGCAGAGTGCAATAGAGACATGTAGGTGGGTTGGACAGACAGATGGACAGAATGTCTGGAAATTGTCACATTAAAAACTTCAAAAGCATCCTACGTAATGACCCCGCGTGACCAGGCGAAACCCCATCTTGAACTGCACAGTGCTCTGATTATATGGGCCTGGGAGACACAAAACATCCGTCCCTGTCCAGTTCGCCCTCTGTGTCCTCTCCAAGCCGGCTAATGATGTGCAGTGGTGGGGTGATTTCTGGGGTTGACGGGGGGAATACAGACGCCAGAAATGTTCGACTGAAACCCCCTGCTGATGTCTCATCATCTCAGGCCTAAGGCGAAAAAAGAGTCTGAGTCACTGCTGGAGATAAACTGTGGTAATAACAACACATAAACAAAAGTTCCAACTCTAAAAGTTTATTTTTTTCCTTTGTCCTACAAATTTGACGAAGTATAACACAATGCTACGTTGTACATAGTACCCACTTGTGAAACATTGAGAGTCGTGTTTGTGTGTGTTTACCAAACCACCTGGTAAACGGTGTACGGACGGGTGTAGATTGACAGTAAGGCAACGGTTTTCATGTTATAAAGACTGGAGCATGACATTAGACTTTTTAGGCAATTTGTTGTACGAGAAGTGTTTTTTTTCCAGCGGTGACTTGACAGTTGCAATCACGTACAGCAAATCCCGGCTTTCAGTTCAAGCTCCCATAGTGGCAAGAATCCAATTATGATAATGATGACTTTCCTTGTTTCCTAGAACATCGTGTTGATTGAAGGTTGAGATATGACTCCTGGAAGGTGGTAACAGGTCCCTGATTCGAGTTCAGTCAAATTATTCAGAGTGACTAGCAATCAGCAAATGTCACCATTAGTACACATTTTGATGTGGCACTCTTAAATATCACATTCTGGGCCATTTATTAGCATGGGTGAATTTCACAAATCATGCCAAATAAAATCGAAAGGAAAATAAGAAATTATATTTTGCTTAAAGGAAACAGATTATTTTTAACACTATTTAGAGTTCTTATATTGTTTTCCTTAGCTGCTTAATGTTTAGGAAAATTACACAAATTCCCCATAATTATTGTTACTGTAATGCAAAAGATTTTGTTAAAATTGTATAATTTTTTAAAAATCTTTAAAGTAAAAAGATCATGGTAGCATTTTTGTACTACCTTTCATGTATGTTTATTTTAAATTAGTATTGTACTCTAATAATGTAAATTAGAATCATTTATTGGTAATACTTATACTTAAAAAACAACAAAGCAAAATGTAATGTAAAGAAATATAAATGTAAAATGTGTTTAATTTTCATGATGCTTCAGATTATTCATGTAAAATATGATTTATTTTTTCCTTTTGATTTTAGAGGTTAAATGTATGAAAGCTTGTTTCTGCCACAGAATAAAACATTTTAAAAGATAATTGCGACTTTTTATCTCACAATTGCGAGCTAACATCTCGCAATTACTTTATTTCTCAGAATTGCGAGATATAAAGTCTGACATTTTTTCCCTCAGAATTGCGAGTTTATATCTCACAATTCTGACTTTATATCACGCAATTGCGTGTTATAAAGTCAGAAATTGCGAGATATAAACATGCAATTCTGAGAAAAAAAGTAATCACCCCAAGTTTATTTCTCGCAATTGCGAGTTTATATCTGACCATTCTTTATAACACACAATTGCGAGTTTATATCACGCAATTCTGAGATAAAAAGTCAGAATTGTGAGATAAAAAGAATTGTGAGATCCTTTTTTATTTTGTGGCGGAAACAAGCTTCCGTAGAAATATGACTTGGACATCTTAGCATTGCCTCTGCAATTTTTGTGTGAATTTGCACTAATTGTGTCAAAAGAAAAAATCTTAAGAATAATAATCTGTTTTGGAAAATATGTCAAACTGAGCTGAAAGTTCAGCTGAAACATTTTTTTGTAAACAAACACTCCAGGGTGCAAGCTTTGTAAGTGACTAGGCTAGTGATTTTGTGCAGACCAAAGATCTTTGGGCAGTTTTCATATGCTAGAATAGATGTGATGAATCACCGTCTGTCCTCCTGCCAACAGACACCATAATTAAACTCACACCTGATGAAACCAGAGATCTCGTCTCCCTCCTGTAATCGCATCTGACCTTGAGCTTGTTTCTGAACCACCAATTACCTCAATCCAAAGATGGTGAAGCACAGCCGTGAGGCGCTGTTCTGCTCTACAAGTGTAATTGGGCTGTTGTCTGACAAAAACTGTACCTTGGACTCCAAACAATAGACGTATTCAAAACTTATTGCTCAAAACAAGCTGTCAAATGTGCTGTGATCCCTGTTTGGTGCAGAATGGACCTCATCTTGCTGATACCATGCCACTCTTGAAATTTCAAAGACATCTGGGAAATTAGCCAAGTAGATGTTCCTTGGTGTTTTATTGGTCTTGGAACATAATTTCTATTAAACAATCATTGACCAAACCCTAAAATCAGAGTGAGATGATTGGTTGATGAGAATACCATAAGCTGAAATCCTGAAATCTGATTGGCTGAGCAAGCAAGACATGAGAAGCCAAGAAACCAAGGCAAACAAAAGCCATCATTTCTACTGACCTTTCTGAAAATGATTCGCCTGTCTGCTTTGTCATGTTCAAGGAGTGTGTAATCATGTTTTCATTTCACCGGTCCGTTCAAAAACTAAAGTGAAATGAACTCATCCGATCAATATCAATAGAGTAAGTACCACTGAACAAACATACTTCTTCAGACCTGACAAACATACATAATGAACTCTTTAGGGCATGAAACTAAATGTGGGGAATAAAAAAAGCGCAGTTTAACACGATTTGCTACCTCACTGATTCTTACAAATGAGAAAATGTCAATTCACAACAGTAATCAAAAAACGAACATTCACCGTACTATTTCATTTCACATCTTCACTGCAGAACCACCCACGACATGTGAGTTTTGATATTTACTGCAAAAAGGTCATTTAACTTCTAGAGTCATGAGAGTGCTTGAATCTTTTAGATTAGGTTTGACGACTTCATTCATCACTCATCGCTTTCCCCGACTATGAATAAATAAACAGACACCGCTCGCAGTTACAGAGAGTTTAATCCAGAAGAGCTCACGAAACGGCTACATAGGTCCTCCAAAGATGTCCTGGCTGAGTTCTGTGTCCGTCGAAGTCCAGCTCGCTCTGAAGTCTGGTTCTGTACTTCCACAAACCCCAGAATCTCTCGTTCCCCCACTTGTCCACTTCCAGCTGATTCTGGGTTGAGGTTCTGGGTTTGTCGAGGGGTTGAAAGTTGTGCTCTGTGAGATTTGGACCACATGGAGAGGCTTGGGGCAGTCAGGCACCTGTGACATAAAGGTCCATGTGGCAGGGGCATGTACTACGTTTCCCATAATGCACTTCTTCACTGGGGCACTCCAACAGTTTGTCCTTACATTTGGTTGGTCTCTGTTGAAAAGGGAGCATAAAGAGTGATTAGAAGTAAATTTTAGGCAAAAAAAATGGTGAAATCCCTTTTAAAAAGTACCAGAAACATTAAACAGTCTAACAGTCTTTTGTTTATATATATATCTACTGTATAAAGAGAGAGAGATATTAGCAGACATTACTAAGTCTTCACATGATCCTTTAGAAATCATTTTCATATTCTGAATTATTATGTTGAGTT